AACCCCAAGCCCTAACCCGAAGCCCTGCACCCTTAAAGTCGTGAGTCGTGAGCCCCCGACTCTGTTTAGCCTATCATAGAAGCCTCAATAAATTACCACCATTCTTCCTTATAGGGCTCCTGAGTAGAATACATTATACCCAACAGCACGTTCCAATTAAATTACCCATAGGCCCCATCGTAGTTCCTTTTTGGGGTTACCTTATAGGATTCTATATATGAACCCCAAAACGGAACTACTTTAGGGCCTATGGGTAAGGTCCCTCTGTTACGTGTTTCGAGGCGCAGGCCCGGCGCATGTTGTCGTAGAGGCTGGTGGTCTCAAGTAGCCTCCCGTGGGTTTTGGGGTAAGGTAAGGGTTTACCCTAAGCCCTATATAAACTCTATCCCCCCAGGTACCTACTTTATAGGGCCTTGGGGGCTCTAGTACCCTATATGGTAGGTACCTGGGGGGGTAGGTTTACCCAGAACCCCATATAAACCAAAAGGGGCTGAGGGGCCGAGGCGTCCGTAGTAGCTCAGAGCCCATACTATAGCGGTCTAGTAGCTGCCGTCGCCGTTGTGCAGTTCCTTCCTTGGGTTTAGGGTTTAGGCTTAGGGTTTTTGGATTACGGCATACGATCCTAAATATACACTCGGTTAAGCCGAAAACAGGAACTACGATGGAGACTATGGGGTAAATCAACTGCCTTGGGCACCAAATGACCCTTATCAGCAGGGGCCCTGTACCTTCATGCTATAAACTCTACATGGTATGTATATGACCGTACAGCCTTTTAGAGTTAATATAGGGGCCTTAATAATTAGAATAGGGTTTTGGTGAACGCTATACGATAATCAAAAAAGGAACACGTATTTAATTGGCTCTTACAGTAATTCATTTTGTCCTTAAGATGTGCACAGATATCTAGGCTCTGGGGGCTGGGAATGTCGAACCTTTCGGCTCTTGAGCATCGTCGGCCTCTTCATTCGGGTCCGCTTTGGGGTTTAGGATTTATAGGGGTTTTATAGGGTTTTGGGTCCTGAACATGAGAGTGACGTATTGTTTTGGGAATCCTTCGTGCGAGTATAAGAAAACTACGACTACCATCGCGTGAGTCTGCAAAGAAACAACATGTCCAGCCTTCGCGTCATGTGTGAGTCCCTCGCTTCCAAGAAGGACACGACGTACGCACCGCCAACGATCTAAGAATGCCGCAGAGCGGCTTTGTAGGCGGAGTTCTCAGTTGAATCTATGCTCATTCTCCGGTTTAGGGTACTTCAAAGTGGTGCCAGGAATCATACAGCCAGGGACACATGCAGATGCGGTCTTTGCGAAACCCGTTTTTCGGCGGCAAACACCAACAAAACCCCTAAACAGTAAACCCTAAACCTGAATGCCCAACTCTCAAGCCCAAACTCACACCTCTGACCAAGACAGTCCAAGGACCTCAAGCCCAACCTTAAAACCACAATCATTAGGGGCCTACCGCAACCCCAATTCAAATTCAAAGCCCAACCCGTTGGGATCAGAGCTCTGCCGAGGTCGGCGCCAGTGAGAAGACGAGGCCGAACAACGCCAAGGCCTGAGCAAGACTAAGATCTTGGGCTATTCATCTTACTGTGAGGGTTGCTATAAGGCTAAACCCTAAACCCTAAACCCAATAAGCCGTATGAACCTTGTTCTAAACCCTAAACCCTAAACTCCGAACCAGTCTCCAGGGAACCCTCCCTTGCCGCTTCGGGGATTTTGGATGCCGGTGCATTGGCTCGAGTCCGGTCTTCACCTCAATCAGATTCCGTAATTTTGGGTTTAGGGTTTAGGGTTTAGGGAATATACGGGCCTAAATAATTACCAATATTGTGTTGCGGGGTTCGTTTTTAGTTTTAGTATAATGTACCGCAGAAGCCTGTTCTAATTTTTGAGGCCCCTGTGTTAAGGTCTTTCCTGTGGCACGGGGTATCGGGCTGTGGGGATGCAGGGTTTAGGATTTCGCGTCTTTATCGCTTCAAGAGACTCAGTGGCCGAAACCTAGAACTGTAGCATCTTCGACCGGGCTCAGGCGTGCTCAATGCAGAAGGGTCCACGGAAGCACAGAATCATCACCTGGGTCTTACAGATGCCGGTGAATCCCTGTAAGCTTACTCTCAACTGGAACCCTCACCCTAAACCCGAAACCACAGACCCCCAAATACCAAACCCCGTTCAAAACCCCCCAAACCTTAAACCACAAACTCTAAACCAAAGCCCTTGGAACTGAGAACACCGCTCTGCTCAAGAACCTCAGACCTTTCACCGGCGAATGCTGTACAAATGGGAGTTTCCGAAAATAAGCGGGTACCTTATTTTGGGGTCAATTTAACAGGGATCCTACTATTTAGGGTACTATATTAGGGTTCCCCTAGTCTTTTGGGGTCCTCATAATAAGGATCCTGCTACTTAGGGTACTATGTTAGGGCTCTCCCATTCTGAGGTCCCTGGCCACGTCTGTGAGGCCTTGCAGGTCCATGCGCTGCAAGCCTGGATAGACGGGTACAGTATGCGACAACATGAGATAAACAGCATAATATAACGGAACGTGATGTAAAGTAGGGTAATCCAATACAATACAACACAATATATCAAACTATAGTGCAGTCACATATCGTATACACGTGTGTATATATATATACACAAATATATCTATACAACCACATACGCAGTAGAATGCAACGATAGAGAACATTGTAATATGTAGAAATATACTACGGCATGATATTGTATAGTATAACACACTGTAATTTCATGTCACCTAGCAGAGAAGGGTATAGTGTAGTAGAGTGGAGTAGACTATAGTACAGTCTAGTATGAAGTAATATGGTGAAACTAAATATAGAACAGCATGTAACAAGTTATGATTTGAAATGATGTAGACGTATATAATGAGATGTACAAACATGTATTAAGTGGCATACGTCTACATATATATATATATACATATGTATTTATGTACATACACGTATACACTAGTTTATTTTGGCATACTTCAGTCTACCGTAAGTATACTATCTGTCTAGCCATCGATTCAGGTTTATCTATATAATTACATATTAACGTGTGTATATATATATATATATGTATGTGTATATATATATATATGTACGTATGTATTGGTATATTTCTTTGTTTATAAAAACAGCACTGTCATTATCATTATCAGTAAAATTGTCATTCTGATTCTTATTGATAGGATACAAGAAATAAACTTAGTATAAACATGTATATATGCATATAAGTATATCTGTATGTGTGTACGTATGCGTGAATGTGTGTATATATATATATACACGTATTATGTTTATAAATGCACCACAGAATACATGTATGTACTACACACATATCTGTGGTATGTGTGTGCGATCACAATACATTATGTTATATACTTTATACTGCCCAAAACATTTTGTATACTACATGTTGTACATACAACCAACAGAAAGCAACACGCCTTTGGATGGACGTGTATTCCAGCTACAGTTCTTGCGTGCCCTAACCCCACAACCCCACGGTTTGTGTCCCATGACCGGGCCGAGATTGATGCAAGCTCAGCTGCCAGCCTTCGATGTTCTCTTTCATGCCATTACCTGCATCGCTGCATCTAAGTAGGTGAAGCCTAGAATGACCTACGCTCACACCGCCATGATGTCCACAGAGAGGACCCTCTTGATAGCAACAACAGTGGCAGCGGTTAATGAAGGCTATACTGGCAAACACTCTGCTGCAGCTGCAACGGCTGCTGCTGCTACTACTACTACTACTACTGCTGCGACGACGACTACTACTAATAATAAGTTCTAACTATTACTGCTACCGCTACTCCTACTACTCCTACTACTCCTACTACTCCTACTACTCCTACTACTCCTACTGCTCCTCCTACTCCT